CCTCAGACACTTACTAGTTATGTGACCCTGGGCAAATCACTTAACCCTGTTTTCCTCAGTTTCCCCATATATAAAATGATCTGGAGAAGAAAATGGCAAAACATTCCAGTATCTTTGCCAAGAAAACCCCAAATGGAGTCATGGAGAGTCAGACACGACTGAATGACAAAATTTTCAGACTATGATTTGCAGTTGGATGGACAACCCATAGATATGGTCTATTATTATGTCTTTGACAGATACTATGGATGGACAGTGAACCGGCATCAGAATTAGATAAAAGACTAGATTGCCTTTAGGGAAGGAAGTTTTTTCCCCAATGATTCCAAGCTTCTCCCTGAAACAAAACACTTCCCTCCTTTTTTAAACATTGGTGTTTTTCTAGCAGTGCTTTACATCTGCAAGTACTAGAATATAACAGTCTGAAGAATTATTGTTGAGGTGTTCAATAGAGAGGTTGATGTAAGTTGTCGTTGTTGTTGAGCTGTTTTTCAGTCATGTCTGACTTTTCATGACCCCATTTGGGGTTTTCTTGGCAAAGATACTGTAATAGGGTTGCCATTTCCTTTTCTGGCTCATTTTACAGATGAGAAAACTGAGGCAAACAAGGTTAAGTGACTGACTTTCCCAAGGTCACACAGCTACTGAGAGTCGGAGACCAGATTTGAATTAATCCTGATTCCAGGGCCTGGCACTCTATGTACTACCCCACCTGGCTGCCAAAAAAAAATGTTAGAACCTAGATTCGAACCCAGATACCTTGGCTTTAAGCCCAGCACCCTTTCTGCCACACTAAACTGCTTACTCAGGGATATGAGTACGCTTCAACATGTTACCTAAGAAGAATTACATAGAAGTGCATAAGAATGTTGTCAGAAAGATCAATGACTAGGAAAGGAAAAAGGCCACTTGAGCAGCAGGAGCAGGGAATAATCAGTGGAGACATACTCCATTAGTATATAATATCAAAAGATCCAGAGCAATTCATAAGCTTTTTTTGTGTCACAGATACCTTGGGTAGTCTGAGGAATCCTACAGTCCCCCTTCTCAGAATAATGAGTTAAAAAATCATAATTGGGGGCAGCTAGGTGGCACAGTGGATAGAGCACCATCTCTGGCTTCAGGAGGACCTGAGTTCAAATCCGGTCTCAGACACATAATACTTACTAGCTGTGTGACTCTGGGCAAGTCACTTAACCCCATTGCCTACCCCCAACCCCCCCCCCAGAATTAAAAAATCATAATTGAAGGAGATGCCAAATTCTCGTTAGAGGTTGGTGAAAATAAAGATGTAAAAATTTCCTAAGTTTATGGGCTGCCTGAAATCTGTCTATGAACTACTTATGGGGTCCGTGGATCCCAGGTTAATAACCACTGATCTAGAAGAACACCTCCTACAGGTTGGGAAGAGAATTTACAAGAAGACATAGACACAAATGCAAGACGTAAAGACATGGATGGATTGCAATATACGCTCTTGGATGGAGTACTGAAACTGATGAGATCACAAATCCATTAAAAAGTATTTATGACTAAATAGCTTTGATTAGAAAGATGAGCTATCTTTTCTAGAGAATCCAAACTGTGAATATAAAATAAGATGTTTTTATAGCACTAAAAGGTATATCATCAAATCTTAATGAATACCCCCTTGTGAAACATATACAAGAAATTTTACAAAATGCAGAGATCTCTTCCCAGTAAGAATGCACATAAAAAGGACCAATATGTAAATTGATAATATTTTATAGCATAATCCTTTATCTATGTTGTTTTTTGTGTTCTTGGGAAAAGAAATGAGTCTGATAGATATATGCTCAGAATATTAAGGGAGGAAAGACTGTGTATATAGGAAAAAGTATACCTGGCAAGGGGTGGGAATGTGACCTTTCACCCTGGAAAGCTTGTAAAGATTAAGTTAAATCTTGCCAGATATCCTTTTTCCTATATTCACACAATAAGCACCTTTTCTTCAGATGACCTATAAAGGTTAATGGAAAAATGCTGTCTCCACATATCTGATTCTTTTGGAAAGAATAGTTTTCATAATTTAAGGTTTACATGGGGTTGGCACATAGAGATGCCCGAATCTCTAAATTATTTTGAAATTCATCTTCTATTCCATTCTTTCCTCTAATGATAATACACAACATAAAAGATGCATGAGGCTTGATTAGAGGCTTTCTGAAATGAAGGAAAAGGTCCTGTAGATTGTACATTGTGTTCAGGCCTGAAACATCCAGCTGGGATTTTTTTCCATGAAAAGAGGATTTAGGAAAACCATTACCATGGGGTTAAAGGCAGAAAAGCAGTTGGGCTGCATGCGAGGGACAGATTGACATCAACAGGCTTGTTTCAGGCCCTAACGGCAGAGTGGGAAGTCATTCTCAACTTAGTGTCTCTGGGAGTTTCTGGCAGGTCCTCAGCTATTAGATATGTCAAGTAGAAATATACCAAAGAATGGGAAAGAATTGGCTCAGGGTCTTGGTAATGACATATGAAGACTTCACATCTAGGGTGCCAGCTGAAATGTAATCATGTTCTCATGTCTAATTTCAGGGCAAATAATGCATAGCTCACTTGAAACCTAGTAGTCTCATCAGAAGTCAAAGGAAAACCAATCAAAAAACAGGAAGCAGACAGGGTCAGATTACCTAATCTGAGTGGTTGGTGTTTCTTTGTTAATCTACATAATAACTTCTACTTTTCCAGAGTAAAGAGGAGGGAGAGGGAAAGAAAGAGGCAGCAGTGGTCTGCCAATCTTGAAACACTGCCTAGCATTCTTACATCATTAAGGATTTTCCTAGCTTAGTTCATGGGGTTTGTTTAACCCTAAAGGGTCTGATATTTAGGGTCAGAAATGAAGACAGTTCCATGAAGTAGGAGCTTCTTTCTCCCTGCGGCTCAATGGGGCCATCAACAATATGTGTGTGTGTGTGTGTGTGTGTGTGTGTGTGTGTGTGTGTGTGTGTGTGTGTAAAATCTGTACTAAATTCTTTTAGAAAACAAAAGGATATTGAATACAGGAATCTGTAGCCTGTGGGGGTAGATTTGGAATTTTTCTTTTTTAAAAAATTTATTTATTATGTTTAGCTTTCAATATTCACTTATTTATGTTTAGTTTTCAACATTTACAAAACAACAGATTTTGAGTTCCAAATTTTCTCCCTCCACCCCAAGATGGCATGCAATTTGATATAGGCTCTACATAAACATTCGTATTAAACCTATTTTCACATTAGTCATGTTGTAAAGAAAAATTAGAACCAATGGGAGAAATCACAAGAAAGAAGAAAAAAAAAGAGAGGGAGCAAATAATATGCTTTGATCTGCAGTCAGACTCCATAGTTCTTTTTCTGGATGTGGACAGCATTTTACATCATGAGTCTTTTGGAGTTGTCTTAGATCTTTGCTTTGCTAAAAAGAAATAAATCTATCAGAGTTAATCATTGCACAATGTGGCTGTTTCTGTGTATAATATTCTCCTGGTTTTGCTCACTTCACTCAACACCAGTTCATATAAGTCTTTCCAAGTTTTTCTGAAGTCTACCTGCTCATCATTTCTTATAGTACAATAGTATTCCATAACATTCATATACCACAACTTGTTCAGCCATTCCCCAATTGATGGGCATCCTCTCAATTTCCAGTTTTTGCCACCACAAAAAGAGCTTATATATATATATATATATATATATGTGTGTATAATATTTATACATGTGAGTCCTTTTCTGATTTATGTGATCTCTTTGGGATACAGACCTAGAAGTGCTATTGCTGGGTCAAAGGGTATGCACAGTTTTATAGCCCTTTGGGCATGATTCCAAATTGCTCTCCAGAATGGCTGGATCAGTTCACAACTCCACCAACAATGCATTAATGTTCCAGTTTTCCCACATCTTCTCCAGCATTTATCATTGTTCTGTTTCATCATATTAGCCAATCTAATAGGTGTGATGTGGTACCTCAGAGTTGTTTTGATTTTCATTTCTCTAATCAATAGTGATTTAGAGCATTTTTTTCATATGACTATAAGTAGCTTTAATTTCTTCATCTGAAAACTGCCTGTTCATATCCTTTGACCATTTCTTAATTGGGGAATGACTTGTGTTCTTATAAATTTGACTCAGTTCTCTGCATATTTTAGAAATGAGGCCTTTACGAGAGACACTGGTTATAAAAATTCCCAGTTTTCTGCTTCCCTTCTAATCTTGGTTGCATTGGCTCTGTTTGCACAAAAAATCTTCAGTTTAATGTAATAAAAATTATCCATTTTGCATTTCATAATGTTCTCTATCTCTTGTTTGGTCATAAATTCTTCTGCTCTCCATAAATCTGACAGGTAAACTATTCCTTGCTCTCCCAGTTTGCTTATAGTTTCTGCCATATTCTTTTCCAGTTTTGCCAGAAGTTTTTGTCAAATAGTGAGTTCTTATCCAAGAAGCTACAGTCTTGGGTTTATCAAACAGTAGATTACTATAGTCATTGATTACTGTGTCTTGTGTAACTAACCTATTCCACTGATCTACCACTCTATTTCTTAGCCAGTACACCAAGTAGTTTTGATGATTACTGCTTTATAATACAATTTAAGTTCTGGTATGGTTAGGCCACCTTCCCTTGAATTTCTTTTTATTAATTCCCTTGATATTCTGGATGGAATTTTTCTTGAGGCAAAGAGTCAAATTTTACCTTGACATAATTTTAGATAATGGACTACCTAGTTTTGTGACTCTGGAAACCTCAGTTTCTTTATCTTTAAAATGGAGGTAAAAATAGTACTTACCACACAAAGTGGTTGTGAGGAGCAAACAAGTTGATGTATATAAAGTACTTTGCCAACTTTAAAGCACAATGCAGATATGAACAAATATTAGCCAGTAACCCATACTTGTAGAGTGTTTTAAGCTTGCATGATTTCATTTGATCCTCACAACAATCTTCTCTGTGCCTCGGTATCTTCACATGTATAATAGGAAAAAATATTTATTTGCTACTAGGTCATCAACGATACCTCTAAAATTATGAATCTGGATGACTGGGAGGATAGTAGTGCCCTCAACGGAAACAGAGAAGATTGGAAGAAGGACCAGTTCAAGAAAAGAGATGACGATCTATTAGTAAGTATATACTTTGCTTCATTTAATCTTTCTATACTAATCCTTATTCTATCTCACTGGCATATTTTAAACATTTCTCCTAATTATATTATTCATGACCTCAAGTTTCTTGTGGCAGAAAAGGCCAATCTTTTTTAAAAAAAAAATAACATTTTATCAATGGGGTTATCAAGACATAGAATAATACTGTGTAATGAATTAAAAATGATTATCATACAAAGAGCAATAGAGAGATGGGTGGGAGACTGCAATGCATAAGCAATGAAGAACTTCAGATATGAACAGAAGTGAAAGGTGTCATCAAGGAAATGAATGAGAGAGAAGGTGGGCTGGTCACATGAGGTAAAGGGATGACAGACAAGTGGACAGCCTTTGCTACCCTTGCAAAATCAGAAGAAAGCAAAAAAGGCTTCCAGTGTGTTGAATGGACCCTTTGGCAAACTTATGGGACGATATAAACAAGAGACACACAGGATAAGCAGGCATGAAGGATGGGGATGAATTACAACCTGAACTCCTAAATCAATGAGTGCCAGACCCATTTGGGTATGTCCAATCATCCCAACTAAATGATGCCCAAGTGGGCAGGGGCCACATCTTCTCCCCCAACTCCTCTTCCCCCAATACCTAACACAACACACATAAGAGGTTTTTTAATAAATCTTTGTGTGAATAAATTAATTTTATCATGTTCCTTTAGTCCTCTTTAAGTGGGGCAATACATCCTTGTTCTCTTCCCATTCTTCAACCTCCATGTGGATTGCCTTTCTTGAATCTGTATCTATTCAGTGTGGACACAGAAAATGCAATATTCAGGTAAGGTCCCTGTAAAGTTTCCCAGGGAAACTTCAGTTCTCTGTTTCCTAAGGCCTGTATGGAATACTATCAAGAATGATTGCCTTTACACTTAAATACTGAGTAGCAAGAAGCATTTACTTTCTTGTCCCCCCCAAAAGTCTTTATCTGTGTTATTATACTCCCAAGTAATGAAATCCAATAAACCATAACTCAACAAACTAATAGGATTTGATGAAAATATCTCCTAAGGCAGATATCTCCTAACCCCAGGTCTGTGAACATTTTTTGGGGGGGATAATTGTAAGAATAAACAACAACAGCAGCAAAAACATTTTAATTGGTTTCCTTTGTAATCCTTTTTTATTTTATGCAATTAATAATAGCTTGCCTTTATATAGCACTTTAAGTTGTGTAAAGTGCTTTACATTTGATCCTCCTAGTAGTCCTGAGTAGTAGGTACTCCTGTTCCCATTTTATAGACAGGGAAATTGAGGCATGGAGCATTTAAATGACTTATTCCAGCACTCTGGGATGTATAAAAAGTTTGAGAGTGGTTAATTAATCATTTTATTAATCATGCGAGCAGATAATTAATAAAAGTAGTTGGTGACACTCTTGAATGCCAGAGATCCCTCAAGGAACCCACTCAAGGTTTATATGCCCTTGGAAGAGTGAGGTGTTCCTGAGAGGGGCAATTACCTCTGATTGGTTAACAATTAATGAGAATGAATAGTATGAGAGGTGGACCTATTTTAATGAGGGGCAGGGGGAGGTGACTTTGATTATGTCACCCATAGATAAAGAGAGACTATCTCAAACCAGACTACCCCCAGTCCCAGGCAATCTAGACAAAAGATCTATCCCCAAGCTGGGCCGGCCTGTACCGGAACACAATAGGCTGGAATTTGCCTTAGATTAAATTCTTTGTTAGGTTTTCTAGTTGGGTGGGGTATTCTACGCAGGATCAAAAAGCCTGTACCCTGGGGATTTGGGCAATCTCATCCATCAACAATGTCCTTCAGACTGGCTTGACCTAGTAGAGAATGATAAAACCCTGGGTCTCACCAATAATCATTTCTCTCACCTCTATTCACTGTACCACCTAGCTGCCTTACCATTATTTGAGGAGGGGTCCAGGTACATGACACACACAAAAAAGGTTAAGAATCTCACATAGTCACCAAACCACCTTCAGCTCTGTGGTTGGCTATCCAAACCATGAAGTCTTTCCCCCACTATCAACCCAGCCTTGGATTCTAGATGTCTCTGCAGTCAAACGGCTTCTTTGTAAGATCTGTGTCAATCTTATCTTTTCCTTTAATGTCCATTTTCCAGAGCAGGAACCTAAGTCTATGTGTGAGAACTCACTTCTGTACCAAAACTAGAAGTTTTCCATAGTATGGCAGATTTTTAAAAGTCTGTCAGGCTCCAACTTGTATACCATCCTCAGGTGAACCTTTTGAGTATGTCAACCCTTGTCCTCATACAGAAATTTTCCTTATTAGCAGCTTTGGGACATATGCATACAGGAGGCTGTTTTTCTATGATAATGCAACTATCCCCTTTTCCTCTCAATGTTAGAAATAATATACATTATATTATACATTAAATAATAAATAACTATAAAATTTAGTTTAGAAGATGCACTCATTTTCCTCATGTAATCTCTTAAACTTTACCCCCAAATGTGGTCATCTTGAAAAAAAATACGATTAAAGGTGGTTTTGGGGGTTGCTTTTTGATCGCTAGAGCACCTGGGTCCAAATCCCACCTCTGACCCTCACTGACCTCTATAAAATGAGGGTCTAGGCTCAATAGCCTCCAAGGTCCTTTCCAGTTCTAGAGCTGTGATCTTAAGTGCTAATAACTAAATAGCATAGTTTTAGCTGGCCTCCCCCCCCCCCAAATAATGAAAGTCTATAATGCTCTGTCATTAGTTTCCCTCATCTTCATCCTTTTCAAATTATGCAGTCACTGAAGCTGATTTCCCAGTGAGCTCTGATACCCTCAAGACGATTTCAGGAGAAGAGGAAGAGAAGGAAGGCTGGGAGAAAACTGTTAGAAAAGAGATTTAAGATTTTGAATAGCAAATAGTCTCCAACTCATAGGCAATGTTGCCACCTGCTGACAGTAAGCAGAACCTGCAGCCTTAAGTGATTTAAAAAAAACAACCCACAAATATTTAAATTTCATCTTTTTCTTTTCCACATTCCTCCATTTAAATCGCGCCTTTGAAACTTCAGAAAGACCAGATCTGAACCTTTCCTTTCTTTAGCAACATCCTCTTCATTTTCAGAAACTAGGAGAAAAGAAACAAGACAGGGTTTCTGGCTACCTCTTACTTTCACAACAGAAGGAGGGAAGCTGGTTCTTTCAGTAGAGGAAGGAATATGGTGAAGAAAGAAGCTGTTTAGGAAAAGGAGGAAAAATTCATTTTTTCCTCTAGAATAATCTGTGCTAAGAAACTGGTTCTCTTAATTCTCCATATATATAACCTCCAAGTATCTGATATATGTATTTCAAAATTTCAAAGACTCCACTGATGCTGACGTTAGGATCTCCAAACTTAGACTTGTCTTTGGATGACAGACATACATACAGGCTGTCACCAGGTCTGTTCTTGAAGCCTTTCCACCTTATAATATAGGGTGGGCCAGAGCTTGGGCTTCACTATCATGGCCTTTGAAAACCCAAAACCAGTCACCTTGTCACAGTTAGACCAAGACTTGAGTTTGTGATGCAAACAGCAACAAAGTAAGACTGCATGTGGATCCTGTACTATGTGAGATATTTCCTTTAGTGAGATGCCTGATTCTAATAAGACAATGACGTTACAGCATGGGGGAAGAGGATGGAGCAGACCACTTTCTTCAGGCAGTCAATGCTCCAGTTGTTGACATTTGTCTCTGAGGACAATAGTGGGACATCTGCCTCAAGATCACTGACTTCCACCAGAATTAGAATATTTTATCCACTCTGGGATCTAAAAACTTGAGAATATATGTCTGTTCCATATAAGAAGGGCTTTTAACATCAATTCTGTGAAAAAATTTTAATATGTTGACAACTATATTTCAGTATGATTGGTTTCCTTTGTAATCCTATGTTTTTATTTTGTGCATTTAAAAACACTATTCTGAGAAGGGGTCCATAAGCTGCCAAACCAGATTGCCAGAGGGGTCTATGACACAAATTGATAACTCCTGCTCTAAATGTAGCAGCAAGAGAGCCTGATAAAGTCACACATAATGACTATTCTTCTGTTGGATAAAAATGTTATCTAAAGCAAGGCGTGTTTTAATGGATAATCATCATGGTAGTTGTAGTAGTAAGTGTGTTCCTAAAAGGTTTTGTGTATATCATCATAGCTCAAATTTTCTAGACAGGTTTAGCTGTTTAAGACAAAGAATAATGAATCCTTTTAAAGCAAGTATCTGTACCCCGATTTATCTGTGTACCTCTAGATTTTCATACTAAGTTTGCTTAAAGCAAGTTAATTGGATTGTCTAGGCTATATTAAAGTTATTAATTGCTAACAAACAAGTTTGCAACCTTTGGGAAATTAATGGTTGAAATGCTGGTAATGGATTTGGAAAGGCACTTTTCATCTAAGATTCTTGAAAATTTATTTGAGAGAATTTAGCACTGTTGTAGGTTCTCCTTTATCTCACTCATCAGTAAATTTCTTGGTTTAGTAAATTTTTTTTAATATGAGAACTAATTTTGGGTTTTTTTTTTCTCCCTCACTCAGAAAAAATCTTACCCTGACACTCTTGTTAGGTCTGGGAGAAAGAGAGAGGAAGTTATCTACTCTGCAGTTTAATACCTGTTTTGGAGCAAGATTTCCTAAAGAGAGAAGTATGGTAGGAAATAGAGATGTGGAATTTTATTTCCTAAGGAAGAAGGGGAGGAATGGAGATACCAGTATTGGAATTTCATCTTAATTATGTCTTCTTGCATCTCTTGTATATAGGAAATAATTGCTTTGCATGCTGTTAGGTAATTTAGGAAGCTATCTTGGGGAAGTATTACTGTACTAAAAATCATGAAAAAATTTTTTTTCCTCCAAGCACTATCAACTCAGAGAACAAATCTGGCATCATGTCTTTTTCATCTAGGTAGCAATTACACAATTACCATTTGTGCTAGAGTAGACCCAGAGCTTCTATGGGAGCATGAAAGTAGAAGGATGGTATGCAGAAAGTGCTATGCAGTTCCTGTTCAATTCTTACAAATTTTCTTTGAAAAGAAGGATTGGCAACAGGAGAGTATCTTTTAAAAGTCCAAGTATTTTACATGTTTGTTGGAAGAGACTACATAGCTGGTACTTCTTCAACTTGATTCTGTTTCATGGAAGAATCACAAATATTCCGGGATGCTTCCTGGTCTCTCAGAGGAAATTAAGCATGCACAGGATGCTAGTTTTGTGGTTATCTTAAGTACAGAGTTCCAGAAGATTCCTCTCCAAATGGAGATGGGGGTGGGGGTGGGGAAGGGAAGGGAGGGGAGGGAGGAGTTAGTATTGGCCTAAATTCTCTTAAGACAGCTGGTGACAGATTTGACACTAGAGGGTACCAACAGTCCCATCTTCCATTTGCCTACTCTCTCTGGGTTCTTAGAATCTCCCGAAGTCGTCTGTATGCAATGGAGGAGGACCATACATATCTAAGATAGTCTGCTGCTTGAAGAATACTAAATAGTAAAGTTTTCAGCAATGGCTTTTTCTGTCACAAAGAAAAGGTAATATGATGTAGTTGTTCTTTCATCTGTGAAATGGGGATAATACCAGAGGCAGCTACTTCGCAGGATTGTTGAGAGGATCAAATGAATTCGGGGTAGGCTTTTGAGCACTATGTAAATGTCAGCCATTAGTAAGTACCATTTTGAGGAGATGGGTAAAAGGTGGCAGCCAAGCAGTAAAGGAGAGCTGGATCAAAGAACTGCCTGCACCTTGGATGCTATTCTTCTGATGTGGTTATTAGAGCAAGGTCTGGAACAGAAGTTCTGATAGGACTAATCAGCCCAGGCAAAATTCCTTAACCCTTTCATGCATCACTTGTCTTGTCTATAAAAGTGCCAGAAATATTTGCTACCACACATCCTATTTGTGAAACAAAACCCAAGACACAACTCTTTGAGAAGCTTAGAGGAATCTGCAGGTAAATCATATTCAGGGATACAGATTCATTCCACTTGGTCTTGTTATTCCAGTTTCTTTACAGCTGAAATAATTTTCTTCTGCCCTTTGTGGTTTAGAACCACTGCTTTCCTCCACAAATAAAAATGTGTTTGCAGGATTTGTCCTTTAAGCCAAATTATAGAAAGAAAAAGACCTTTCAGCTTATTTATTAGGGGAAGAAAGTGTATATGATTTCTTTTGGAAGAAACGGGGTGGAGGTGAGGGGGAGATGATAGGGAGACTAGACTTGTGATTACATTGGTCCAGGGAACTCCCAGGTGAGAAGACCCCTTTACCAATGCAGTTCAGCACTTTCTCTGAAACTTATAGTGTGGGAGACTTCCCTAGAGCACTTTCACACAACCAGAATATGTCCAAGGTAAGACCTGAACTCGGGACTTCCTAGCTCTAAGGCTAGTGCTCTGTATCCGTTATGCTAGGCTGCATCTTCTAGATGGAAGAATCCATCTGAAATAATTGATGTGAAAATGCTTTAACAAACACTATATAAATGTGGTGTAATGGAGAGAGGCCTGAATTTGGAATCAGTTCACTGTGCTAGCTTACTCCTTGTGTCTTCATTTCTCTGGGCCTGTTTCTGTAAAATGAAGGGTTTGGATTAAATGGTTCCTAAGGACTCTTTCAATGCAAAATTCGATATTATGAACTCTTTCAGTGTGGCTGAAAACAATACATAATAATGCCACATGCACGAGGTCTTTAATTATACTTTTCTTGTCCATTACCTGGAAGAGTTAGCTTTTCGGAACCAAATTATTAAGATCAGTATTTGAAAATGAGAATGTAAGACATACTCCTTCTTCAAGACCAGAAGGAACTGTGACTTCATTAGTGTGGCTCCTCCTGGTGACACAGATTGGTCTTCAGAAGTTGCTGAGTCCAACGTTGTGATGACCTTCTCAACTTAGCTATACTGGTACTTGGACAATGGCAGGCACAGACTTTGAGAAGACAGGATCACCTCCACACCCTGCTAAGGTATAGGAGTAGTCTCTCTAAAAGGAAAAAAATGCTGATTAACAGCAGTATTTTGTGGTCATTTACACTTACTAATTTTCCAGAAAATCTAAGAGTTGAAAGTGTATACTCTTACTTCATCTGTACACTTCATTTTGGTTAATTTAGAAATATTTGGCATTTAGTCAAATGGCTTTCCTCTAAGACCATTAAAGTATTTTAGCTTTGCTTACCTTTATAGACACGAATAGAGGTAAATGCATTGCCTGAGGCATTTCCGTAGTACCACACTTAAATATTTGGAATTGGATCCAGTGTTCCAACTCCTAATCCTAGCTTTATCCATAATCCTTATGATTTCATCAAAAAGCCTCACCTTCTGACTACTCAGTGGTTTATGGTGGCACAAAATTTAGGTTTTGCCTAAAAGGGCAAAGGGATAAAATTCACTTTTAAAGGGGATGATGTCAGATGGAAGAAAAGAGAATAAGAATAGAGAAGACAGACTACTCCAGACTTATCATAGGTCCCTCCCCTTTTACTTTAGAATAGTGCTAAAAAAAAGAAAAAAAAATCAAAGGCCAAGGCCTTTGATTAGATTGAGAAGCAAAATTGGTTCGAAACTACCTAAGATCTTGGTTTTGTTTTACATCTTTTAATCTAGAGATCTTACTGCCAGTGTCCCTCAAACCTTTGAAAACTTGAGTTCATGTACTCAAAGTCAAAAGTGAAAGCATTTATTTCTCTTCCAAAGCCAGTCTATTCTTGGTGGCTCTGTTGAAAAACAAAAAAACTGTAATCTTAAAAGATTTCAAATGTTTCAGTTACGGAAGGAAAAATGACTTTTCCCCCCCAAATCATTTCCCCCTTTAAGGAGATCACTTTTGAAAAGTGATTTTTAACAATGTTTTTTAAAGGATGACATGGACTTTAATTAATTTTGTTTATTAACTGCCAAGTAGGGAAGAATTTTTTTTTTTACAAAAGCCTAATAAAATACTTGTAGGTTCATATGAAGAACATCCTCCTTAAGACTGAGGAATTCAGCAGAGAGGAAGGACTCTATGGCTGGGAACATTATGCAATGATGCCAACAACCTTGGCCTGGTACCCACTTGGCGTCCTTGGGGGGCTGCAGAAACCATTTCAGCCCTGCAGTTGAGTTTATCAATTATCTTTTCAGCACAGACTGCAATATTAAAAGGGCTTTTGCCTGAAAAGGTGAGATCTATTGATATTGTTTCTGTGGCAATGTGATGTTTCCATCAAGACCATGAGATTTATAAAAACAGGTACTATACTTTGATTTTCAATCAGTCTGATTCTAGTTAGCACTTGCTTACTTTCCAGCTGTGAGTTTTGGGCTACCTTTTATATCATTCTCCTTCTCTGCTCTTTATCAAGCTCAAGTTATTAGTCAAACATAACGGACTCTCCAGAGTTTGGCAATGAGCCTTTTAAGAAAATCTGGCTAAATCACTCAACTTTTTCAGAAAGATGGTTTTTAAGATCCAAATTATCTATTTTAGTATGAGGACATTTGGTCTCTCATTTCAAATCTTAGTGTACCTTAACCTAGAGATAGTAAGTCTATTTCTTGCCATAAATATTTTTTAAAAATTAGATGCATGTTTAGGGGTGCTTACTGGTTGTATCCAAAAGGAAAGAATGTATAGTTTATTTCCACATATATGGAAGGACTTCTAAGAATCAAAATGGGCTAAAACCCTCATGAGTTGTAGCATGGTGTTAAATTAGAATTCTGACCCTGATCTTAAGTTTCTAGTTTTTATTTGGGGTTCACACATCATCCTTTTTTTCAGTAAGTATTGTAAACTTCTAGCTGGGAAGAGATCCACACCTCCTTCAAAGCAAAGGAAGATGGATATAGTGTCAGGCTCAATTAGACCCAATTGTGCTGGCTTTCCTAAAGGGAACAATGCAGCTTTTGTGATATACTCAAGCAGAAAGCTTGGAAATTTTACAAAACAATCTTACCCTAGCCGAAGCCTAGATGCTGGCCTCTCCCTGGGAAGGGGGCTGATCCAGAGAAGTTTTGTATCCCTATTTTACATAGATTTTATAAATGTCAGCTCCTTTATCTGTATGACTTAAAAAATGAAGAGCGTAAAACTCTGAATAAAAATAAGCCAGAAACTTCATATCCATACTCTCAAAGCAAGTAGGTGTCAGATTTGGAGGTAACTAACTCTTCACTAAAGGGATAGCAGAGCTGTAAAAAGCCCTCATGCACTGTAAAAACACTCACCAGGGTAGAATCAGGGGCCTGCTTTATTAACAGTGGAAGTGGTTAAAATGCAAATATACAAGAACTTCTGGTCTCCCCTCCCCCAGGAAAGGGCTTAAATACAGCCAGGCCTGGAGAGGAATGTTAAAAAGAGGGGATGAACTGCACTACTCTTTTCCATGGGGACCTTCACACTGTGAGAGATTCAGTATGCATGACTGAACAAGCGAGCAAGGACAGCTCTCTCTTAACTTTCCTGAACAATGGCTTTAGCTCCCTCCACCATTTCATATCCTCCCCACACCCACTATGAGAACCGTAAGGGAGACCATTACTCCTTCTACTCCTTTTTTCAATGGATTTTTTTTTGCCCCATAGTTATACCCCACTCCCCCTGAAAGAAAAGTTGGCCATTCTGTTGGGTTTTGTTTCATTTCTTGAAATTCCCATGTGGATGATATTGTATTCTTAAAGCAAACAGAAAAACTGGATTTAAACTCAAGTTTGATATATCATCTAATTTCCAGGACATTTCAATGACAACACTGGTCCTTCTAAAAAGTAAACTTTTAACCATAAGGCTATCATACATCCACACAGAATGCATTATTTTCTTTTACTCTCTTTAGAGTATACAAAAATAAACACACAGTGCCTTAAAAATAACTCACAGATAGACTGATTTTTTTCAAAAACATATTTCATATTTCCTCTTTTTATTATATAAATATCAGTTTAACCTTTTACTGTAAGAATATAAAATGTTTTTAAGAGGATCTTTGTTATTATTTATACAAATTCACAAACAGTACAATTAATTGATAGGGTCTCTGGGTTTAACTCCGTGATCTGGCCTATTACTGTGGAGGATTCTTAAAAAAAAAAAAAGCCCTCCCTATTCAAAAAGTAAACATTTTTTAAAGCCACTGTTCCCACCCACCACCAAAAAACAAAAATAAGGAAAACAAAAAAAACCAAAAAAATAAACAACCCCCTAAACCAAAAGTCATCTATTCCTCCATTTAGAAACAGAATTTTAAAAAACCCACGAGCTCCATTTTATTGACTGAACTGAGATAAGACACGAATTTCAGTCTCCTCCCCCTTCAGATCACAGCCCCTGGGTTCTACAGGCCAGCTCTGCACCTTTCTCCACTCCCAACAGGAAGCCCCTGTGACCTTTTTTTTTCTTCTTGGTAGGGAAATTTGGAAAAGGGGTTGGGGGAGGGTAGAGTTTGCATATATAATAATCATTTTCAAGACACAATCTGCATCTCACTTTAAACAAAACAAAAAACAACAACAAAAATAAACCAGTCCAGTCCTCATTTTCCCTATCATTTGTGCTATAAATTAAGTCAAGGTTCAGAGATACAGTTGGGTCCCCCAATCCCTATGGAGGAAAGAGAGAAAATTATAGCCAGAATATGGAAGTGAGATACACTGGATGGGGGATTTAGGAGAATCAAAACAAAGATTTACAAACCCATAGGGGTCTCTTTCCAGTCTAGGCACAAAAATGTTTCAGTCTCAAAATATCTTTCTTGTAAGAATTCCAGGGCTTCAGAAAAAAGTAAACTAAAACGAGGTAGCCAGACATATATAAATGTATATATTATATATATTTCATACACATATATATAATATATAGGATATATTCAGCAGAAAAGAATGGTACTTAAAAATCCACAAGGATTTCAAATTTCTTCCAAAATAAGAAAAAAGGGAAAAGTAAAAATAGCATGAATACCAGATTTGCTATAAAAGAAGAAATAATGAGAAGAGACCAGGATTAGTTACACAAGTAGAGGAGGATGTAGTAGCTGGGTTTGCTTTTTTTTTTTATACACTTCGAAATAAAAACCAGATCACAGTATTCAAATAAATACATAAGTGAAGGCAGAGATTCTTCAGCAACTCCCCTGGTTTAAAGAGACTAGTCACACTTTACCCTCCTTCACCCTACACTCCCAGTGCAAGGTGGTATGGGGTACAGGCAAGCTGAATCAGTCTTCAATTCCTATGCAAAAAGGGGTGGCTCTATGTGACTGGGTCTGTCCCCATCCTCAGTGTGAAGGAAATGGTAGGGTAGGTGTAGCAGAGGAATGACAAAGCTGGATCTGTTTCCAGCCCCAAATGCCAAGACAGAATAGGCTTGATGGGGCACAAGGAAGGGAAGAGAAAATGAATATGTTGGCTAGACATCATTGCGCCCCCCCCCCATCCATTGAGATAATCTGCTGTCCAGTCCACAAGGGTAAGGAGAAGGGAGGGGAGGGAGCCTAGCACTGTTGCCCTCACCTGACCTTCTCACTCTCAGTCATCTGCCAGAGTCCCAGGTTGAGCACCTTGAGGCAGGGCAGCTGAGTAATTCGCTCTAGTCCCCGTTTGGTAATTCGAGTGCAGCCATAGAGGTCAATACCAGTGAGCTGGCTGAGATGTTCAGCAATCAGCTCCAGGCCCTTGTCAGTGATTCGAACACACTGCCCAATGTTGAGGGTGCGTAGCCCGTGCATCTGCCGGACCATACGATTGATGCCATCATCACTGATGTGGCAGGAGCAGAGGGAAAGGGACTTGAGGCCATCCAGTCCCTGGGCAATATAGGCTAAGCTCTGGTCACCCACTTTGTCACAGAAAGACACGTCCAGCCCAGAGAGGCGCAGGCTGCCCATGGCCAGGTGCATGATGCCAGTGTCGCTGATGTTATCACAGGAACGCAGGTTGAGGCTCCGCAGGCTCCCCATGTGGGACAGGTGCAGGAGGCCGGCGTCGGAGATGCCCCCGCAGAAGCTGAGGTTCAGCAGCCTCAGGCCGGTCAGGCCTCTGGAGATGTGCTTGAGGGACAGGTCGGTAAGTTTCTGGCAGTCCTGCAGAGTGAGCTGCTCCAAGCCCAGGCAGCCCTCGGCCGCGCTGCGGGTCATGCCCGCCAGGTGCCCGATGCCCACGTCCGAGAGGTGGCGGCAGCTGCGCAGGTTGAGGCTCTTGAGGCGCTGCAGCCCCCAAGCGATGAGCAGCAGGCCCGTGTTGGTGATGTTACTGCAGCCGCCCAGCTCCAGTACCTCGAGGCCCTTGAGGTACTGGGCGATGCGGCCCAGGCTGCTGTCGGTGATCTGCTTGCACAGGCTCAGGTTGAGGGCCCGCAGGGAGCCGATCTCCTGCACGAACGCGTGGCCCAGCCCGTTGTCCGTGAGGTTGTAGCAGCCGCTCAGGTTCAGGCTCTCGATGTTGGCCATGCCCTGGATCACGTAGCTGAGGCTGCGGCGCAGGCTGAGGATCTGCACCCGCCGGATGCCGCGGGCCTGCAGGCTGGGGAACAGGGACGGGTTGGCGCGGCGCAGGTGCAGCTTGGCCTCCACCCCCCGCCACACCGACTTGTGGTAGGCGGCGTCCCGCCAGGCCGTGCACACCTGCGCCGCGCGCCCCTTGTCCCGGACGTCCAGGTAGCTGAAGATCATGGCCAGCAGCTCCGGGAACAGGCACGAGATGTGGGTCTCCATCTTCCTCCTCCCCCCTCTACGGGCGCCGGGGGGGAGGAGGCGCGGGCCCGGGCCCCAGCCGCCCCCGGCCCGAGGAGGGGCCGAGCCCCGCTCACCGCCGCCGGCGCCGCCGCCGCCGCCGCCGCGGGCCCGAGATCCCCCCCAGCTCTCCCGGCCTTCCGGCTCCGCGCCGCCGCCAAAGCCGCCAAAGTCGCTCCTCCTCCGGGTCCGTCCTTCCTGCCTCGCCGGCCCTGCCCTGCCCTGCCCGCCTGCCTGCCCCCGTCCTCCCGCGGCTTCGCGCTCACATGCCGGGCTGCGGGCTCGCTCGTTCTCTCGCTCGCTCGCACTCACGCGGCCCCGCCCGGCTCCGCAGGGCCCCGCCGCTGTAGCTCTAGCCCCGCTGGGCTCGGGGAGCGAGGCTGCTGCCGCCGCTCCGCCGCCGCCGCTCCCACGCCCCCTGCTGCATCCTGCTCTTCCTCCTCCTCCTCTTCCTCCTGCCGCTGCCGCCTCTGCCTCCGGCGGCCGCCGCCGCCGCCAGGCCGGGAAGAGGTCGGGTGGGGGCGGGCGGGCTGGCAGGGAGGCCGGGCGCCCTAGGCTCCGGGCCGCCGGAGAGGCTTCCTGCTGCCTTTGTCTCTCGCCCGCTTTTCAAACCTAGCAGCCCCGGGCCGCCCGCACTCCGCCGCCCAGGCGGGGGGGACAAGGCGGCCGATCTGGACGGTGAAGGCCGAGCTTTCTCTCCCCCCTCCGCCCTCCCGCAATTGGGCGCTCCCGGCTCGCGCAAGGAGATCGCCGCCGCCGCCGCTTCCTCCTCCTCCTCTTCCTCCTCCTCTCGCCGTCTCGGCCGCCGTCGCGAGGCTCCCCTCAGGCTTCAGGGCTAGCGGGCGGGCTGCGCACTTGGTAGAGTCCGGGGCGTCCCCCGCCACTCAGCAATTCCTTCTCCCTCCCTTTCTGGCTCCCCCCACGCCCTCTGGGACAGTGGTATGAGCCAGTGCTGCCGGAACAGTCGGAGCCGTTACCCTGGAAACCGAGTTCTTCCCTTTCTCCTCGGCCCAGATTGTTAACCCCGTAGGCGCCGGATGAGAACCTACGCCAGCCCACTCTTCCTGGCCCGCCCCTCAGTGAGGCGCTCGCTCCCTCTCTTTCCCCGGGCCAGATTCCTCCCGGTATGACCTGCCCAACGACCACTTACTCCCTCCCTGCCTCCCATACCTTTTTTTTTTTTGGCTGGGGCTTCCTCCCTGTATACACGCAAGTCTGGAAATCTCCCGCCCCTTCCATGTGCTACCTGCGTGGCCAGGGCAGCCTTCCCACCTCCTCTCTGTCCCCTCAGCCAGGTGTCATCTCTGGTGAATCCTGTCACCTTCAGGACTCTTCCAGCCGGACCCATCCGGCATCTCCACCTTCCTAACCCTCTTCAGGCTCTTGCCTGCCTCTCAGTCACCTAGCATTTAATTAAGCACCAACTGTGTGCCAGGCACTGTGCTAAAGCGATGGGGCCACCAAGGGGCCGAGAACCCAATGGTGTATTTGTGTCTTTGAAAAAGTCAACTGCCTTCCATAGAAGCAATGCTTTCCCATGTTCCTTTTCTTCATCATCAACCATGTCTGTCATGAAGAAGCATCATTGTGATATGGCATGTATGCTTGTGTGTAAAATGTGCTATTACTATTGCTATTATTAATGCTATTATTATAGCATAGGGTGACTAATATACCTTAAGAATTTCTGCTGGAAAACCTGAACTGTCGGTTGCACCCAAAATGTACCATTTCCAAGAAATTTGAGCAGTGCTATTAGGATAGTGTCCTATACTGGGATATATGGCAGCAGATCTTCCCTGCACATATGGAGTAGACAGGACCTCAACATTTCAAGAAGACTTCTCTGTTGCATTTGACACTGTTCAGCATTCTCTTACGTTCTCTCCTGCATTTTAGTGACACAGTGACTCTTACCATTCTTTTTCAGTCTCCTTTGCTGGATCATTAATATTAACTATTTAATATGAGTGTCCCATAGGTTCTATCATAGCCACTTCCTTCTCTCCCTGCTCTCTTTTGATGACCTCATGGGCTCTTATGGCTTTAATTTTCATTAATTCATTAATTTCAATTAATCCACCTTCTTTCCCTGCTATCCACACCATCACCACCATTTAAAAAGAAAGAAAAGTGAAATCCTTATAACAAAATACAGTCAAGCAAAACAAATTCCCACTTGTCATGTATCCCCCCCAAAAGTCTTAATTTTTCACTTCTCTTGGCTTTAATTTTTGGCTCTAGGCAGATGACTCCCCAAACTGTCTGACACCAGTCTCTCTCCTGAGTTTGTCTCACATCCACAATTGCCTATTGGACATTTCAGAATGGATGTTTGAACTCACACTCAGCATGTCCAAAATAACTCATTGTCTTTCACCCAAAATCTGTCTTTCAAACTTCTCTATTTCTATCAAAGGTACCACCATTCTTCTGATTCCAAAGTTCGTAACATCAGCATTTTTCTTAGTCTCCCTCACTCTGTATATCCAGTCATTTGCAAAATCTTGTTGTTTCTCTTTCTACATCTTTCACATCTAAAACCTTCTTTCTACTTGCCTAGCCACCATTGTGGTTTGAGTCTTTATCACTCATTGCCCAGGCTATTGAAATTCTCATCTTCCATACAGCTACCAAATTGATTCTATCCCCTCACTCAATAAACTATTGGCTCCCTGTTGACTCTGGGATAAAATATAAACTCCATTTAGTATTTGAAACCCTTCACAACTTGGCCCCATTCTATCTTTCCAGCCTCATTATACATTACTCTCCTTCCAGTACTCGAAGATCCAGTCATACTGGCGTTTTCTTTGTTCCTTACACATGGCACTCCATCTCCCATTTCCGTGATTCTCAACTCTAGGTTTCCCAAGCCTGAAAAACACTCCTTCCTCACCTTTGCTCACAAAATATCCTTTTTTAAAAATATTGTAAGCTTTTCTGGTACCATTAATTCTTGTTTTCTTTCGATTCCAAGACAGTCAATCAGTAAACATTAATTAAGCACCTACTCTATGCAAGGCACTATGCTAGCTGCTGAGACATCTTTCTTTTGTTTAGCTCCTAATACACTTCAAGGTATAAATGGATGATTAAACAATGTTTTTTGATGTTAAAGGAAGCTAATAAGGAATTTCAATGTCTCTAGCCATTTCCCACATACAGGATTTTTTTTGGGGTTTGTTAGCCAAAATTAGCATATTTTAGCTGGTATTTTGTATATGAATATATAAAATAAAAGTACATAGCCTCTGCATCCATACCTCCACTCTCCTTAGCTGGATAGAATGTTAGCTTTGTCAACATATTGTATTTATGTACAATGGAATATATCTCTCTGTAATTGTTACCCCCTATTGGTTACTTCTCAATCAGGCCTTTAACACTGTTTTCCGTTAAGTTTCAGTAAGCTCATTTAAATCAATTCAGGATGTAAAGCCCAAGGAGAATTTCTGATTTGAGGATCATAGCCCTTGATGAAAGGGAAAAGGTGACAAGTGCTACATAAATAAGCGAAGGGGAAAAAAGGGAACAATGATCAGAAAAGAGAGGTGGCTACTTCAATGAACCTACTATTCATAGAGAAAAGGAGATGAAGAATGGGAGGAATGAGAGTTTAATGAGGAAATGGATAATAGAATTTAGAGCTAGAAGGTGATTTAGGGATCATCTGGCCCAAAGCTCTCTTATTACAGATTTGAAAATGGAGTCCCAGAGAAGCAAAGTGACTTGCCTTCAACTGTAATAACTTTTAGCTGAGTTAGGATTAGAACCTAGGTCTTTCCCCCCCCCCCCCCAAACTCTATACTATAGAAACTAAAGCAAAAAGAACCACAGGACTATAGATTGTTATAATTGGAAGGGAAATCAGAGACCTTCTAGAGCCATAATTAGCAATTTTAACACAAGGAGCAAACTTCACAAAAATGTGCTTGGGACAAGCAGCATGAAACATGCCCTCAGATCAACTTTTGAAAGACAAATTCTGTTAGGGTAAGGAGAGAAACATTAGGATAAAAGGCCTTATGGAAGGGGAGAGACCATGGGACACACTGCCCCCATGATGGGAACTGCTTTCAAGAAGGGACCAGCTCACCTGGGGTGTGGCCAAAGGAACTGGAAAAGGGAGGAAGCATGCCATCTGGTAGCTTTCTATTTTCAGGCATTTTTCTTGTTAATTAGGTTCTAAGCTCAGTTTCTATGGTGATGAAGGAATAGCTATACTGTCAGGGCCCTCAATTTTTGTACCCTGAGGCAAAGCCTTCTTGTCCTTCCCTAGCTAAGTTTCAGCTCTCTACATAGTCCATTCTCTCACTGATATTAGTTTCATCAATTGGCACATTTTTGAATTTGGTTCCAATATGTCTAGAGACTTTTCTAGGCTGTGCTAAAGGGGATGAGGGACTTGAGAAATGATATTGTAGGAAGTTTGAGCTGTGTGCTACGTGGGAGGAAGTCCTGGGTTGAGAGCTACCAATGTCTAAATTCCAAATTTTGCTCCCTCAAGCTAGAATTTACAAGAAGCTGTTAATTTAATGTTTAAATTATATTTTACTGATTCTTTTTGTCTTTATTTGGGCATTTCTGGGGGAAAGCACTCCCTCCCAAGATTGAATTTTCCCCTGTATAATAGGGGCTTAGGGTCTCCTCTTTGCTAATGTTTATGCTTTTAATTTTCTTCTCTTAACTCATTGCTATAACTATCATTTCTAGAAGTAAGTCAAATGATAGGGTGAGAGAGGCATTCTTACTTAACCACTGTTTGTACTAAGGAGCCGTTTCTCTATTGACAATAAGGCTAGCCCTGGGTTTTTACAATAAACTTTTAAATAATCCAAAGCCCTATTCTCTTCAGCCATTAAAATAGTGGAGACTATGTCTTCAACTTCCATGTGCAAGTTGGGTCCCCTGTGGAATTTCTACCCTAAAATAGTTCTGTGTTCCTAAAACTATGTAGCTAATAAAATCCTTCTCTTTGGTTTTTCCACAATAGTCATTTGACACAGTTAGCTAAAGATGAAGGCATTTACTGAAATGGCATAGCATGATAAATAGTAACAAAACGTTTCCCCATAAATCTAGGACACGCTTTTCCGTAAATATACACAGTATCAAAAAGGAGACTGGGCATACACATAGAACACACTGCTATAGAGCCATACTTGTAAGAAACACATGCGTCCCAGGTAATTCATACCTCTAGCATTGTAGAGCCTGGAGGTCAGTTCCCTTCTCATAGAATCATAGTACTACTACGTTCCCCCTTTCTCCCACTGGGCTCCGGAGAAATGTAAGGGGGGGGGGAATGAAGAACAGTTCCCTCTCAAGAACTGGGATAGGCTAGTCATGACTTGGGCTAATCTGGTGGTTCAAGTTATGGAATAGAATAAAATTAAATGAGACATTCATTTACTTTGTAACAAGTTCTTAGGAAGTATTGCCCTTACCACACCCCATCCATTGGTGGCAAGGACTTTAATGGTCTTCTAGAGCCGGGGTTGGCAAACTATAGCATGTGGGTCAAATTTAGCCTGTTGGGGGACAGAAAGGGGACAAACATATAGTACCCACTGTGTGCCAGGCACTGTGCTA